GGAAAGAGTATCTGGGAATGGTCAGCAAAAAAAAGCTTTACACTGTAAAATTATTGCATCAGCTTATTCCAGTTCTCTCCACTTTCACCAGGTTTTCATATACACAGTCTTCATTTCAGGTAAACAAAGGTTTAGCAGTGTATACGGGAGTATCAACAGATAGGAAGAGAAAATGAGCATAAAATCTGATATGAACAATATTCAGGGTGGCACTACAATTAGTAAGAAGACTATATCTAACCAGCATGGGATGAAGGTGTGGTTAGTGTCAGGGAGCAGCAAGAGAAGAGCTTCCACAAGGGAAGATGAGCCAGGGGCCTAGGGTGGCCACAACACAGGCCAGGCAGTGCCCTCACTGACCTGCCACAGTCTCACAGCGCCTGAACTAGGTGAGCTGAGCAGACTGGTGTTAGCAACAGATCCCATGACAGTCCAGTGATCCAGTGATCACCAGGCAAAAGCAAGGCAACATGTGAGGTCCAAGGTCACTCCAAAAAACCTCCTACTTCTGTATGACTCAGACCAGGTACGTCTATGACACAGCTCTGACCAGGACAGGACCGACAGCCCAGGCCTGAGCTTAAATGGAGCACCCGAGTCCATGGAGGCGTGGGTTCCAGCTGGGGCTGGTCAGAGCCATTAAGGTCTATTGGTGCTCTCAGAGCCCTGAAAGTTAGTAACAACGGAAATATTTGCACAGAAACGTCAGGAGGTAGCCAAAAAAATAAGAGAACATGGACTATAGATCTAAGTTGTGAAAGGAATTTATTGCAGGGATTATGGAAACACGATGATTTCAGCAGTACAGAATATTATATCACTTCCTGGAAAGATAGGAATAAAAAGTTGAATGTGCTAAAATATGTTACTGTGCAAGAACTGCAAAGAATACTTGCTTGAGTCAAAACCACTTTGGAAAGAATGGTCGAAAAGACAGTACCGGGAAATCAATTTAGATGGAGCAATAAATACTACTGGATATTGTATTAGAGGAGCATAAATGTCCCACAAGCTACCTACAGAACAAGTATTTACTAGTAATGATAGGGCCCAGATATTCCTAGATGTGGTAGCCAATGTTTGTTTCCCCCTTCGCCCGAAGAAACCGCTAGTGAGTTAGTACGGGACAACACCAATTTAAACTGTTTTTTTTTTTCTGGTTTTGTGTGTGTATGTAATTGAGATGAGTAATTAAGAGTTGATTCAGCTTAAATTAAAAGTAAAGGCTTTGTAATGTAGATTCTCAGTTTAAAAGGGGCTCAGTAGGAAAGTTAGTGAAGTTGGATTGGCAAGTAGGAACTTGCCAATAAAGAAGAACCAGACTTTCCATTTTTACTTGCAAAGTGATCAGGAATCTGTATCCAAATAGAGGAAAAATATACACAGAGCTCTAGGCTTAGCCAGCTCCTTATGAACCATGTCAGAAATTAGCAGACAGATGAAGGTATGGAGGGAAGACCATTGCAATCTATATTTTAGAGTGAAAAAGCATAAGGATGAGGTGAAATTTTCCAAATAAATCACTTAGCAAAAGGTTAATCAAATATATAACTAAAAAGATAAGTATATCACTATGCAGTGGTTTAAAAAAAAAACCAGATACAGACCGAGGCTGATCTAAAATAAGGCATATATTAACTCTAAACTAAACTAATGTTTTGCCTCAGTTTTCAATGAAGATGACAATGATAGAGCGAAGGAATAAGTGTAATGAAAAGACACGACCAAACTTAAATGGGAAATAAAACTCAGCAAGCTTAATGCTCTTAAGTCAATAACTCCTGACTTTAGAACAGAGTTTACGAGTAATACCTGAAATCAGAAGTCCCAAAGCAAGGAAGTCGTTCAAGTCAGGGGATGCTTGCAGAATAACAAATACATTTAAATGACACAGCGGGTAAAAGTGATCTAGGAAACCACAAGCCAGAAACTTGAGCCCCAGTGGTACTGGCAAGGCTCTGGAACCAATTTTGAGCAAGGAATAATTAAGAAGATGAAGTTGAAAATATGATCAAATGTACCAGTTTTACCCCAGAAACCTAACATGAGAGTAACCTGATAGCTCTCTTTCTTTCATAAGACAATCAGTTAGATATCACATTTATAATTGACTAATTAAAAGTCACTTCAGCAATATATGCCTGTGGCATTGGGAACTTTTAAAACGATACTTACCCTACATATTTTTGCAATTTATTCCAATCTTACAAGAAAAATAAAACACAAATAAGATCCGGGTTATCTGTGCACAGATAACATACCTTCTGAAGTGATTCCCAATCTGTTTTCTTTGCAAGAATTTAAGTTGATTTTTTTCAGTTGCTTGCAGTTATAAAGCTGTAACAATGCATTATCTGAAATGTCACAGTCTCGGAGGTCTAGAGACTCTACAGCAGGGTGCAATACCTGTAATGAAAACAGTATTTCAGTCAACACCGCTATGTTATGAAGCATGCATATTTTAATCCGAAATAGTTGTTATATTAGACATCACATAGAACTTGAAAACATTCACTAGAGGATGGAGTTACCAGACCTGGCAACTAAAATCTCTGAAGCAGATATGCTATATTTGCAGTAACAGTTCATCTCCCGCAGCTTAAATGATATAAAACTACAGCATACTGATATACTACCTTGACAAAGCATTCCTAGTTTAGCTACAACAAGAGCAAAGCTGTACTTTGTAACCTCTCCAGCCAAAATCAGCTATTACCAGAGTGACAAATTTAGTCAGTGAAAATACTACTCTGATGGTATACTTGACGAGGTTGGTGTTTCTGCCAGCACAGATATGTCTACCAAGGCTCATCCCCTCAAACCTGCTAGGCTCAACCCCTCAAACAACTACAATGGCAGAAGTTTGAAGTACAAATACCGGCTATGTTTGGTCAAAACTTCAATCTGTTTAACAGACATAGGTAAGAGCTGAAAAATATTTTACCCCAGAGCATTTTTCTCACCTACACACAAAATACACACACAGTCTTTCTCTCATAAACAAGTAACCTCATTATCATACCATGAAGAGGTATCCAATCCTCATTAAACAGGCTCTTTCACTCCCACAAGACCAAAGGTTGGAGTTTTTGTGAAATCTTCCCCAAGAGAGCTTTTATGAAATTAAAAGCCAAAGCAATGGAAGGCCACAGACCTTGCCTCTAATTTCAGTTTCAAGGACTCTTGTTACTTTTTATAAAAACCACCTATAGCTCCCTCTTGCTAGTTTTGCTAATTTTTGTAAGAAACACTTATAGCCTCCTCTCTTCAGCTCAAGTATCACTGCAAGCGAATGACTGCATACCTTTTGTCCTTCAGACCAGCAAGTCAAATGTCAGATCGAACGTTGGAGCCGGTTATCGTATCACCCAAATATCTTTCTTCGGCCTGTCATTCCCTCCCTTGCCTCACACAGGTAATTGTTTATGGTAAATTTCCATACACAAGAGATAACAGCATGGTTGAGAGGCTTGTTAAAAGCCTATTCCTTTTTCAGGTTCACCAGTGAACAGTCATGGCAAAGATATTGTTCTTCTGTTACACAAATATAGAAGAGACTAAAATCTTTACTGATAAGAGTCAAAAAAGCCTTCTGAAAAAAGTAACAACTTCTAGTAGATTACAATTGTAACCTTTCGCCAAAATGAGTGACATGTCAGAAGTCATTCAGGGGGGAAAAAAAAAGCTGTCAAAGCTAAAAGCCTCAAACATGTCCCTTTATCTCATAAAACCACCAATACATTCCATACTATACTTGTGAGCAATTTTCAAGAGAATGACACCCAATTTTTATTTCATTGATAATTCTGAATTCATATCTAAGGAAATAATACATCCAAACCCAAAGATGACCTACTTGAAGCCAAAGTGACCATCTAAATCCATTGAAGATGCTTTCCCTGACTGCCGGCTTTCTTTTACAACTGCTGATTGCCTAAGGCACAACAAAAGTGAGCAAGCTGCCAATCCTGAAGACACATGAGAAATCTTAGAAGTTAGGACTGCAAAAAAGGGTGCGGAGACAGCTTCAGATGAAAGGAATTCTACATGACAAGTAACACTACTATAAGAATACTGTTTATTTAGTGCAATTTGAGCATTACGCTTCCCCAGCCAATGATTTTTCAATGACTGAGTTATTACTTAAAGGTTTGTTTTCTGTTGCTCTTCAGAGATTCACATTCACTACATACTTTTATACAACTCTTATGTCTCAAAGCAGGTGGAATTTAAGCTAGCGTAAGGATTGTTTGTATGCAGAGGACAAGAGATGAAAGTACAGGTTTATAGTTTGTCAACAAACGCTGAAAGGCTATATAGATCTTTATGGTACGTGTGACTTTGAATAAGGAGTTTAGCACACATGTCTTGGAGGCCACTCCATGCAAAAAGCACAGATGAGAAAGAAGAGAAAAGAATGGATGATAACACAAATGTGGCCAAGAACAGGGTTAAGAGATGAAACAGAAGCTTATACATAAGAGGCGATGAATAGTATTTTGACTGCAACAAATTTAAACTTTAAGCAAAAGGTGGGACAACAGCAAGGAAAGAATGTGCACAAAAGCCAATGACATAGCATAGCCTAGAAAACTGGGAAGAGAATAGATCCAGCAGTAATACTGTGAAGAGTGTGAAAGATAAAGGCAGGACAGAAGCAATAACAAGGCAAAAAATTCCATTATCTAAATGGAAGACAAATTGAGATGCGCTGCAAATGTGGAGTATGTAGAACACTTTAGTTATACATGATGCGGGCAAGGAATAACGAGAAGAGCTAAGCAACATACGCCATTTCTGCTGCACTGAGCAACAAGAAGAACAAAAGCAAGATGAAAGAACAGGAAAGCTGAAGAGCAAAACGGTGCAGAGAAACAGTATGTATTCAAAACCTAAAAGGTGTCTATCAGTTAAAAAATGCAAATGAGACAAACCTGAAAACTGTTAGAACCAAAATTGAAGTCACAATTTAAGTCACAAAAAAATTCAATGTCACAAAAGTGATGACAGCTAAGGATAGAATTGCAGGAAGTGTGAAGAAAACAAAGAAAGGAAAAACACACAAGAAAGAACAAAATTAGAATATCCAAGTATTCGTTGGAAAACAGGCTCCAAGAGAAGGCACTGATCAACTGCTGAATGAAGATAAGGAAACCTGAGATTTGTAGAGAGCCAGAGGAAAAAGATTATAACTTAAACTCTCTATTTTCTTCCCAGACCAAAGATAATCTAACCTAATAGTCTAACCTAATAGCTTTTGTGTGTTTGCACATACATAATCACATGCTTTTCTTTATATACAGTTCTCAAGATGTTTAGGACGGCTCACTTATTGCAAAAATAGCTAAAAACAAATTGTGTCAACTCAAACATGCTAAAACAAGATAAATAAATACAATGATTCTATTTTTTACGTAAACACTTATTTTCACTATTTAAAATGTGGACCATTCTGAAGATAAAGTTTTCCACAATACTTCCGATTCTGCCTCTAGCGGTAATTTCACTACTACAACTTTGAGAAACTGGCACTATTTGCCTGTTTCGAGTTATAGATCAAAACAGGAATGAACAGGGAGTCATTCATTTCCCCTGTTTCACCAAGGCCAACCTTAGCTTTCCTCAGTTCTCACGCCTCCCTAGAGACTAAACAAGAAAACAGGAGACAGATACCAAAATGGCTGTACTCCTCAATTTGCAGCTGAAGAAGAGTCATTGAACCAGTTTCATTCTGAAACGCTGACAGACATCAGTGAGCAACAAGGATGAGAGAATTTGGATTTATCAATTTCTAGCCCTAGCATCATCATATTTAAAAGAATCAAAATTTAAATACACTGTACTGAGATCATGTATTTAAAGTCCATAGAGCCTAAAAGAAATCTAACAAGTTTCTAAAAGCTTTCCATTATCCACTGATTCTTGAAACACACTATTCTTCTGTCATCATCAGAGGAAACAGTAGCATATCTGGGGGCGCAATCTGCTGTTGTTGCTGGGAGGCAGCTTCTCTGTCACCAGCACTGAGTAGAGAAACAAATTTCCACAGTGCAAGAAGGGGTTTTTTTAGAAGCACTTAAAAACAACCAAAAATCAGCAACCCTTCCAGCCGCCACCTGGATATTAAATATCTCCAATAATAATATGAAATTATTTCATATAATGTATATTTATACGAAAAATTCTAATTAATGTGATTAAATATAAATTATAAAATAACAAAAACAAATAAAACGAATTCCAAATACCATTACTATAGCCACAGTTCTGCAGTATACTGTATATTATGCGTCAGATAAGTTACCAGAAACTGATAATGTAGCCTGCAGTACAATCCGATATCGGCTTGAGCCCCTTAAAAATTGCACAGTATCTTACACTCAGGAACAGAGACTGATCTGCAAGAGTCTAGTTTCCCAGACTGAAAAGGGATGGTATGTCAGCTGATTAAACAGAAGTCAATCATCACTGACCAGAATATGTTAAGTTACTGGTCACTAAAGGCACAGTCTTATTATTTCTAATACAGGACTACTAGTATTACGGAGCTTAGAAATACATAAAAGAATCAACTGTAAAGATGTGGACAGTGTAAGCAGTCCTGAATTTATCTGTTGACTCATTTACAGAGTTTCAGTTTGGCTCACCTTTGTGTATTAAACTAGCACAGAGAGAGTAGTTCTGAATTGGTTCTTACCTCACTGATATTTGAATCAGTTATTTGCCCTTGTCTACTCATTAATTTAATCAGTTCATCCTTTATGTTGGGTGGCAATGACTTAATATCCGCAGTGTATCTGGAAAGGTTCTTTGTCAAACTTTGCAGGCATCTGAAATAAAGGAAAGTTACAGAACAACCAAAAAAAGGTATTGCATAGTAGAACAAGAACATTCGAGCCATAAGATGATGTCATCTTTTGCATCCAGCTATGCTGGCTCCAAACCTTATCAGTTCCAGCTGTTCCATGCTACCACCAGCTCAGTTATTGTCCTTTCAGGCCAATCACCTAATCTTTCACGCCCAGTTAACAGTAAGCAAAAATTAGCCATATTCACTCTGATCACCAATCCAGCTCACCAAAACAACTTCGCTTGTAGTTTATCTGTGAGCACTAAGAGGAGCCCTTTTACCAGCTGAGCCTCTAGTTGGCAGAGAGCAAAAATCTTCAGTTAGGATAGCTAGTTCCAGAGAAGGGACACTTCTCTTTCACCTCCGTTAAACAAAAACATTAAGAAGATGTTTTCAGATGTAATATTTTGTTTACAGTCTAGTCTGTAATACTCTCTTTATATGAAAGGTTCTGTGTATCCTTGTGCTTAAAACTGGACCTGATAGCAGAGGACTGGCACCTGCGATAGAAATTTCTCAAGTCTCTTAGTGGGGTCCAGCAAATAACAGATCAACCAGCCTGTAGCCTCACCAAGCAAACTAGCTAAAGGACAGAATTAGTGAACACATGGAAAATACAATATATTGGGGAAAAGCGAACACACTTTGTAAAGGCAATCGATAAAGTATGAACAACGCAGCTCAAATTAATATAATCTATTTGGATTTCTACAAGGCATTCAGCCAGACTCATCAGCAGTGGTTGCTGAAGGAACTGAGCTGCCCTGGCATGAGAAGGATGGTCTTTACACGGAGGAACAGCTGATTAAAATCCTATTGCAACCAGCACTACTGGTTGGTTTGACTTAGTGCAGCCATTCTTGTTTTTAAGACCAATATTTTGGCTCCTCCCTCCCCCATAATGCTTATTTCTCAGAATGATTCATCAAGCTGAAGGGAACAGCTTGGTTATCATACTCACTGGGCTACAAATTTCGAATCAACAATAAGGCCAACGTACACTGTTTCACCTGCTTCTTCTATATATCATAAACATCTTGCTTTCTGGGCACCTTTTGTCTCCAGGGTCAAAATTGTTTCCCTGTTTTGAGATATTTGTTCACTTTTCCAGATACTCAAACTTGTTTTACTCAGAATTCCCACTCCAAGATACTGATGCATGAGAAATCCCAAACAAATCTCAAACACACAGGACTTAAATCAAGCAACTCAGTACAATTGATTACTACAGAGTACTGTAGAGGGACAGTAATTACTCAGTCCTATCTTTTTAGATTCCTAAGGTACTTCTCAGAAAATGCCAAGACTTTAAAAAGTACTACAGCACAGCAAAGCTAAAATTGAGGGAGCTGAAATGGGGGAGGGAAGATACCTCCCACCCCATCACTTAGAAACCTAACAGGCGAGTCCATATCTTTGTAAGCAGTTGTACTAAAACAGCCTAACTTACACCAAAGTACAGCTTACGCTAAGTTATGTCACATGAAACAGAATAGCGGAACAGTTGTCAGAAGTGAGAAATGTCAGAAGAAATGAATCAGAAGAGCAGATAGTAAAATAGACTTGATAGCAAACAACAAAATAGATATATCTTCCTGCATTCTTTAGGATTGGTTAATTTATATTTGCAGCAAGACCATAAAAGGGAGCTCTCATCTGAAACTGAAGCTCTGTTTCTGTCCTCACTTCTTGTTCATGCAGAAGTACCCATTTGCAGATGTTCTGGTATCTTCCTTAACACCTTAGCTTTCAAAAAGACTAACAGGCTAGGTTATCCTTAGTCTGTAACAGGCTGGCCACCTGTTAATGATATCAGTAACAGAGGAGCTGTAAGTGACATACTGAACAATCAAACCTTAGCAACATCTAACTACATTCATTCATTATGACTTACATGTGCAGAAACTTCTTCACCATGTAGTTACAATCTCAGCTAAAACACCTTTAAATTTGTTCATTCATTTGTGTTGCTCTAAGAGTGTCATTTGGGGGGGTCAAAACTCTGTATGTAGTGTAATACAGGCCTTAAACATTATTTTAATAGTTTAATCACGTAAAATAGAAAAGTATGGGTACTCTTTTAGCTTTGCAAAAGCACAAAGTTATTACTGAAACAGAATCCTTTAAATTAATTTCTAGTAGCGTGTTCAGCTGTCATTACAAAGCACTCCAACTGGTTGTTAAGTCAAGAGTGAAGTTGAAAAGACTAGTTTCATCCTCCTTGCCTCCCCAACCACTTTCTACAGTGCCTCCCTCATGCTGGCTCTAAAATTCACAGATTTGCACACTGAGCTGTATTGGGCAACCGAGCTGAACATAAATTCACCCAATTAAAACTGAGAAGTCACCGAAATGATGGTGCCAGTACATGTGGCCGGGGGCTACGAGTAACTGCAGCCTGGCCAAATAACCACAGCTTTTGTGTCCCTAAAGATTAACTTTTTTTGCTATAGAACTCTGTCTATAACTGGAACGTCATCAAATCATAGCAAATTAAATTTATACTGATTAAAAACTCACTACAGAACATGAATATTTTTACTGCTGCAACCTGAAGTGCAGCATGGATTTAAACAAGGAAAGAAGGTAGATTTCCAGCATGGAAGTACATAATCCCCTTTTAAAAATTAGGGCAGTTGTTTTTTTCTTTAAAATATGAGTAAAAGTCTAGGTCTAACTGTACCATTTGTGAGCAATTTCGCGAAAGCAAATCTCTGGTACACTTTTCACATAGAAAACCCAGGATTTTATCCCTATGCTGACTGTTGACTCCCTCCTAAACACAAACGTAACCTGACATCATGAAAAACTCAAGTCAAACATTATTCAACGGACTCACTACAGCCAGGAAAAGCCAGTGGCCTTCAACCACCCCTTCAGGTCCAGACTTGTCAGGGAGTACCCTGCCACCTACCCACCAAACCCTGCCACCCCTGTCAAACAACTGCCAAACCCTGTCCTCTCCACGAAACCCTGTCACCTGCCACTCCGCCACCCTGCAAAACCCTGTCACCCCTGCCAAACCCTGTCACTTGCCACCACTGCCTGCCCTGTCACTCCTGTCAAACACCTGCCAAACCCTGTCCCCCCACAAAACCCTGACACCCCTGTCAAATCCTGTCACCTCACCAAACCTTGTCACCTCCCCTGTCCCCCATCACTCCTGAACCCCATCACTTACCAGACCGTCACCCACCCTGCCAAACTGCGTCAGCTACCAAACTCTGTCACTCTGCCGAACCCTGCCGCCTACCCC